CCCGCCCTGCCCGCCCTCCGTCGTTCACCCGTCACCCATTGCCCGGGGAGCCTTGGTCCCATCTTGCAGAAAGAGACACCGAGGCCCAGAGAAGGCTCGAGGACCTGGAGCAAGTTCTAGGGCTCCTGAGTCCTCCCTCAGCCCCTTTCAGCTGATTCCTGCACCGGGCGCGCCACCCCCGCCCCATGAAAGCACCACCGCAGGCCCTCACCCCAGCCACGTGCCCCAAGCTCTGTGGGCCCTGACGGTTGGAAGAAGCGTGTGTGGGCCGGCGGGCCCCAAGCCTCTCCGATGGCGGCGTCTGTGTTCCCCTCAGAGCAGCCAGAAGCACCTCCCTGTGATTTGGGGACGTCCATATCCATTGGGGCTGGTCAGGGACACAGAAGTCCAGACCCCTGCCCGGTGCTTTAGTAGAGGGAATGTAAACAGGTGCTGTTTACAGGTAACTGAAAGAGCAAAGAGAGGACCCAGGGGCCCGCGGAGGACGTAGGAAGTGCTCTTCCGGGGCCCCCAGAGCTGGGACCTGCCCTCTGACCCCTGGGGAGGGAGTGCTGCCCAGTGGGTGCTGGTGCCATCAAGAGGCTCGTTGAGGTTGCTTCTGGGAGCGCTGAACGCAGGGGAGGCTGGCAGCCCCAGGCGCTGTAGGACCGGCAGGTGGACAGAGGGGTCCCCGTCCCTCCTGCCTCCCTGCTGCCCTCCAGAGCCCCCACTGGTGGGACCGGGCAAGGAGCCGCTGGAGAAGGAGAAACGTCCGTGGTGCGTCTCCGCCCAGCACGGCAGCCGCCGGGGCGTCAGGGCCGGCGAAGGGTACAGCGCCCCCTTCAGCACACACACGCCCCTCCCACCTCCCTGCGCCCCAACAGCCGCCTGCCTTCTCCCAAAGGAGGAGCCCGCACCCCGCAAAGGGACCGGAGAGCTGCCCGGCCGCCCCGGCTCCTTTTCTCAGTGACAGTCTTTGTGTCCATCTGATTGGACACTCGCACATCCTTTCACTTTAAGGCTGAGAGGTGAACTTCCCCGCCACCGAATCTTGTACGAAATCGGGAGTGAGCGGGAGGAGGAAGCTCCGTCAGTACCTACAAACCCCGGGCCTCGCTGAGCTCCGCGACTTCCTCCTGCTCCCCGCCCCGGCCCCCGGCTTCTCCTCCTGGCACGGGGACCTGCGTTCGCTCCTGAGGGGCCCAAGTCCTGCCTTTCTGATTAGTGGGTTTTTCCGGTAGTTTTTCCCATTGGACGTGCCTCGGCGGGCCCCTGACGCAGACCCCTGTCCCTGTGGAACGAGCAGTTTCAGGGTGTGTGTCCCCGGAGGAAGCGTCCCCCTACAAACGTCGTCCCGCACCAGTAGGGCCTGGCACCGTGGCGTGGGGTGTGCTGCCGCCGCCGCTCCCCGTCTGTCCCACCAAGGGCTGTCCCCTGCCCCCTGTCGCCAAGCCTTGCCAGGGCCGTGGTGGCACTCGCTGCCCGTCCACACGTGCCCTCCCCGGAGCTCCTCGTCCCCAGTGGGCCAGCTTGCTGTTTCCACGCCCGACCCCCCTGGGACCTGGCCGTCCTCGGAGGTCTCTGCACTGCCCGGCACCCCGCAGAGCTTTCCCTCGGCTCTGGCTCTCGGAGGCTTCCCGGCTGGGCTGGACCGCCCCCCGCACTCGGCCCACTTTTGGTGGGGACCCCCAGCACCCAGACTGTCTGCAGACCAGGCCCCAGGGTTGTGTCTGTGGCCAGCTGGCCGGTCAGTAAGAACTCCCACGGGTGTCGGGGGCCCCCAGGGAGGACTAGGGGGACGGGGGCCTCGACCTGCTCGAGCCCGATTTCCTTCCCACGTCTCCCTGACACAGCCTGCTTTCCCCGGCTGCTGGCCGGGTGCTCTGCGTCACGGGGCCATGGGCTCGGCTCTGCGTGGCTGCTGCTCGCAGGAGACTGGCTGGCTGTCGTGTGTGGAGGGGGTGTGGGTGTGTGGACGGTGCATGTGCATGTACAGGGTGTGTGTGGATGGGGTGTGTATCCAGGGTGTGTGTGTACAGGGTCTGTGTATAGGATGTCTATGTACAAGGTGTGTGTGTGCAGGGTGTGTGGAAGGTACGTGTGTGTGCACGGGTGTGGAGGGGGGTTTGTGCATGCACGGAGTGTGTAGACTTCTGCAGCTCGC